CCTCCAACAGTGGCACGCATGTCCAGACATTTTTTTATCAGACGAAAAAATTTTTACAATATAAGCCGTTCACAACCATCAAAATTATAGAATCTGGACTACAGAATCTCCTCTTTCCGATAAGCTTATCACTCATTCCCAACATCCCCAATCTGTCATGGTTTGGGCCGGTATTTGCGCGTCAGTCAAAAAACCCCTTATTTCGTGGATCCTGTGGTAAAAGTCAATAAAGACTATTACTTGCGAGAATTTTTTCAGCGTGTTGTGAAGCCTCGGTTCAAGAGCCATTTTGGTCGCAGAGTCTGGATTTTCCAACAGGACTCTGCTCCGGCACACAAGGCAAAAGAAGTTAAGGACTGGTGCAAGGCCAATTTTTCTGGTTATATCTGCGCTCAGGAATGACCGCCCTACTCCCCCGATTTGAATTCGATGGATTGACCTTTTTGGTCTATTTTGGAGTCCAGGTCCTGTACTAAGCCTCAAAAAAGTTTGAAGTCTCTGCGACATTCTCTCACCCGAGAGTGGCTCTTAATTACACTCAAAGAGGTGCGTGCTATTTGCGAAAATTTTTCTTCGCGCCTTTGCCTCTGTATCAAAGCCAAGGGTGGGCATCTCGAATTTTCTTGATTATTTTTGTTCCCTATTTAATTCTCTATCATTTGATTGTATTTCGATTTTATTTTATTGTGTTTTAATAAAGTTATGAGAGAAAACAAGTGTGCAATTACTTATGCCGCACCCTGTAAAAAAGACAAAAATCTAAATGAGAATATTTAAAAGATAAAAGTATATATTTATGTAAATGTGGGTGTGAATATATTTAGAACAATACGTAAATAATTTCGTGATGAATATCTTTAAAAGAACATTAAAAAAGAGAATAAAGCTGCCACCGTCCAGCCCCTTTACATTTTAAAATAAAAAAAAAGAAAAAGCAATCAAAAAATAATTTGAACAAAAAAATAAAGTAAAATTTTAAAAATGCATAGAAAATTTAATTTAAAAATATTTTTAGTCCATCAAAGGTTTTTGGAAATCTAAAGAAAGTAAAAGCCAATTAGGAAAGAATGAAACAAAAATATAATTATTTTTTAAAAAGTTTCTAAGTTGCATATTAAAAGTTAAGTAATTTAAATTTCATTATTAATACATAATTTTCGGAATTTCTAAGAATTTTAAAATTCTTTCAAAAACTTTCATTTGGTCTACAAAAAATTAGTAAATTTAGTATAATTTAACCCAGCCAATTCTATAAGCTTCATCGTTTGCACTTTTACAAATTTAAAAATGAAATAAATGATAATTTAATTGTGAATAGTTGATCAAAAAAAGCAGGAAAAAATAATTTGAAATAGCAATTCAGACTAAAGAAATATTTTTCAAACTAAAAATTTTTTTAATTTAAAAGGAAGAATATTGAAACCTAACAAAAAATTCCAGAAAATTCTTTTCGATTTAAAATAAAAAGCTTATATAAATGACAAAAAAGACAATTGCCGTCATTATTAAAAAATATCAAGCATATTTTACGTAAAAGAGAATATGATATATTTTATTTAGAAAATGGAGACAAAAATAAAAAAATGGAACAAGAGTCCATAAAAAATTTTAGGTACTTTTTAAAAATTTTATTAAATTGAGGATATGGATGGATAGGAAATAAAAGTTATTATTGAAAGGAACAGCTGGAAGGATTTTAAAAAAGAAAAAGAATTTTTAAGTTTAAAAAATATTCTTATTTTTGAATTCTTTATTTAAAAAGGATATTTTAAAAAATTCATGACGAACAAGCAAAGTAATAAATTATTTTTACTTTAATAAACTTTGAACTCTTGAACTGAAAATTAGCTGATATATCCTTAAAAACCTTTCCATATATTAATAAATCCCGCCTAGCTTCTTTAAGTTTGTTAAATGGAATGTGTGTAAGAAAACTACAAGTACAATTTAATAATTTATAGAAAAATAATCCTTTCTAATTTTTAATGTAAAAAATATTTTTTATTTTAACAAACATGTATGTAATTATTATATGACGTAATAAAGTACATGAAAATAAAAGAATAATATAACAATTTATGGCTAAAGAATAGCAAAAATTTTAATAATTTTAAACGTTCTTTAGGCAATTATTATTGTCATTCGTATGTCGTTCTTTTGTTAATTGGAAGCACTTTATATACATAAAAGAAAAATAATTAAAAGGATAATGATTAAAGTACTTTTTTAGTAATGAGCTTTTTTTTACCTAAACGAGAACGAGTTCTAGTATATCATTCAAAACTCTTGATAGGCGTAATCTTTTATCCATTAATACAGGTTTATATCTCTTTATGGATAATCAATTGCCGATACATTGAAAAAATACAAAGAAAAATTGAAAAAGATTGTTGGTTATTCAGGTATTTGAGGAAATAGTTGTATTTTTAAAAAATAAATTTTTTTAAAGTTAATTTCGAAAAAAATATTTCAAAAAAGGAAACTTAATTAATTTAAAATGAATTCCTAAAACAAGTAAAAACAATAAAAATAAAGAGAGAAAAAACTATTTTTAGTAAAAAATATTATTTAAGTAAATTGCTAATTTATTTTTTAAAATTTATGTTCATAAAATTCTATATTCATAAAAACTGCCTAGTCTAGAAAAAATGGAAATACAAATAACTAAGTTCCATTTCTATTCATAAAAATTGTTAAAAATGAACAGGGAGAGAGAGAGAAAAAATTAATTAAAAATTAAAAAGCTTGGTTACGTAAAAGTAAAACATAGTACAACAACTTTACTCGTTACCATGGAGTTAACTAGAAAAGTTCAAAGTATTTCAAAGGCATATAAAGGGAAATTGGGATAAAAACGGAAGACATAAATTTCAAAAATGCTTGAAAATTGTTATCATTATTTTAAAAATAAAGGCCATTAGTTTACATATAGGCATGTACTTACATATGTACATATTTACCACTAATACAATAAAAAATAGATAATAAAAACATAATAGTATGTACTATATCTCATTCATCATCTACCTACCTATAATTCATTACCATCTGAAGTGAAGCAGTGTTTCTCAGTAAAAAATAGCTTTATCTTTATTTAAATAACAACACATTAAATTCTTTATTTATACAAAAAAATATTTAAAAATAATTATATTTAATATTAAACAATCACCGGTTTATTAAAATTAAAAATTTATAATTAATTTCCTCCTCAATCTTTTTCAATATAAGTTTACTAATTATTATTGTTAATTTCTATTTATAAATAAATTTAGATAAAGTTTTAAATCATTTAAACATCTAAATTGGGAAAGGCTAAGTATCAGAAAAATAAAACAAAATTATTATTAGATTTATTAAAAAGGGAATTTTTGAGAGGAAACTTAAATTAAACAAAAATATATACAAAAAGAAAATTTAAAAATTAGTTGATTATGATTAATTATTGTTGACAAACAATCCTTTCTTTTATCTCTTTTTCAAATAAAAAAGCTTTGCTTCAAAACCAACAACAAATACATACCGTATATGCTCTAATAATTACCCTGGGTAATTATTGTTTCGACCTCTCGCTGGAGGGAGTAATTAATAGAGCGGGGGTAATTATTTGAGAGAGGGCAATTATTGTTTCGACCTGTGTATGCTTTTGTTTTTGATAAACATGTGTAAAGGAATTTACACAATATATTACCGAATGCGGCGATAAATGTTCAAGTTTCTATTATTATCCATATTCCCTTAATATATTCCGAAATAATGTAGCCCAAAATGGTAATATGACACCAATGCTTCCGTCCTGGGATATATAAAGACACCATGGGTATGTATACACATTTGTATGATCCTAGTTAAGGAATATAATTTATATTCCATTAATATATTCCGATATAATGTACTCTAAAGTGGTAGATATCAGCAATATTTCTATCTTGGGATATATAAAGGCTTCTAAAGTTTCTTAGTTTTTCATTTCCTATATCAACTTCTCTTAATCCCTGGATATCTACATAAATTTCTCGATATTTCCCAAAATCCTTTTAATCTCTCCATATCTTTTTTATATTGATCTTTAAAATATTCCATTATTGAAATTTATTATGATTTTTAATAAATATTTTTAAAATTTTTATAGAAAATAGGAGGGGGGCAATTATTAGAGAGGGTAATTATTTGAGAGAGGGTAATTATTGTTTCGAACTCTCACTGGAGGGAGTAATTAATAGAGCGGGGGTAATTATTTGAGAGAGGGTAATTAATAGAGCATATACGGTATACATATAACCCCAACAATTAAAGGTACAAACAACAAATATTTTCGGCATTATCAAGCAAACTTTCACATTTTTTAAAATAAAACCCGTAATAATTCTAGTTTTCTTCCTTCTTTCTTCCTTTTTTCATATAATATTCGAAGTTTTATTATTATCTAAAGGTTCAACAAAACTTCCATCATCACTTCCACCAGATATAATTGTTGACATTTTTGTTGGAGATTTAATATTTGTGGTTAATAAAAGTGTTGTACTTTTCGCAGACATTTCAGAAGCTGCTAATTCTTTTTGAGAAACTTTTTCCCCAGACCTTCTTCTATACGAGCCGGTCTTTTGTAGATCATTATTTTCATTAAAACTATTTATTATACAATTTCTTGTTGATGAAAGTGTTGGGGAAGTTGCAGAAATATTATTTTGAATTTTTGTTGCTCTATTTTTTAAATAAAGAGGAGGGGAATTGTTAATGGTGTTGTTATTGTTAGCCTCGAATGTGCTTGTGGCATTTGAAGATTTTGCACTTGCAAGTAGTAATCGCCTTTGTTGGGGGTGACCAGGAGGTGGTTGCTGTTTTATCTGAATGAGTTGAGTCTTTGAATTAATATAGTTCCAAAGGAAACCCCAGGAAAAGCCTAGGCAAAAAAGTTTCCCTCGAAAATTAACTCGATAAATTTTTCACATAAAAATTTAACTAGGAAAAATTCATTCACCCAAAATTCCCTCAAAAAATTAATTTACCTGTTCCATACTTAAAACCCCTCTTCTCCTTTTTGGCATTTTACTTCTAGCCTGAGTGTGTGAATAATACATTGCAAAGTTTGCTACAATAACTGGTACAGGTAAAGCAATTGTTAATACACCAGTTAATGCACAGATTGAACCTTTATTTTTTAAATTAATTTATTTAAATTATTTTTTATTTATTAACCAATTAATCTTCCACTCCAAGTATGGGGAGTCATATCACTAAAAAATAATAATAACAATTATTTAAAAATTTAAGTTACCCATAACCAATTGTAGTCATTGTAACAATTGCATACCAAAGACCGAGAGGAATTGAATGAAACTAAAAATAAAAAAATATTTTTTAAAAATAAATTTAATTTAACCTGATTTTCAGGATTTTCTTCTAAACGTTCAGCATAATAAATTAAAGAAGCAAACACAACAATGCCCAATAAAAGGAAAAATACAAGAAGCATTAACTCCTTTGCTGATGCTCTATAATTTAATTAATTAGTTAAAAAATATTTTTAAAGAAAATTAAAATTCGGAGAGAGTTAAATATATTAATAATTATCAATTATTTACACAAAGTTATTTGCAAGAATGACAAAAAAAGATTTTCTATCCTTCTAAATTTAGTTTAACAATCTTATGGACTCTTTATGAGGGAGGAGGGGGAGGGGGAGACTTATTAAAAATAAATATTATTTTGGTTAATTATAACACCTTCCAACCTCTAAAAGCTAATAGTAGTAGTATTTTATTCAAATAAAAATACCTCAATGTATAAAGCAATATTTTCAATCCTTGTGAATGCTGTGTAAGTTTAAAAAGCCTCAAAATTCGAATTATTGAAAAGAATTCTAAATCAGATGTTGCCTCAAACCAAGTAGTTAAACAAAAGTCTATATAAAATGTTACCTAAATTTATAATTAATAAATTTTATAAAAAATTAAATAACTAACAGTTGCAACAATATCAATAATATTTACAGGGGATTTGAAATAATCAAGTTTTGATGGGCATGTGAAGAATCTAAATGAAAATAGATATTTACAGGGGATTATTAAATAATTCATTAATTCCTACCTAATTAAAATTTCAATTGTAAACCAAATATTACAAATAGTTTCAATTATCTAAAAATATTTTTTAAAGAAAACTTTGACAAAAAATTTAAAAATTAACCAAAAAGCTTGGATGTGGTTTTGTATTAACAGGATCAGATCCTATCGATTCTGTTCTATATTTAAAAAAAGGTTTTTGGGTTGGATGTTGATGTTCGTGTTGTTGTTCATTTTGTAAAGGTGGAGGAGGTTTTTCTCTTGAAGGTTTTATAGAAGAATTAAAAGAAGAATTATTTGATAAATTAATTGCTAATGTTTCTTCTTGTATTTGAGAACTGCCTGGATCCTCAACTCTCAATCCTGGATGTGTTTTAAGGCAAAAGGCAAGAATGGCACAAATAAGAAAAAATACTGAGATTACTGCGACTATCTAGATAAAAGAAAATAAATAAGCTGAACATCGAAGGTGAATAAAAAAAGAGCAGGAAAGCTGAAGTATACCGAAAATAGGACGGATAAAATAAGGAATAAAAGAGCTACTAGGAATATACTTAATGAAGTTACCTTCGCCCCAGTAGTTGAAGAAGGTTCATCAAACAAACGCCACATCTTAGGCTTTACTTTTTGCCATAAATTTAATTCTTTGTTTCGAAATTCTTCGTCAAGTCCAAACCGCCTGTAGAGTTTCTCCTTTAAAGTAAAACTTTAAGAATTATCAGATTATTTTTCTTACTAATTATTATATTTAATGATAAATAAAAGTAAAAATTTTCTTTTCTTTTATTTTCATTCTAACCTCATCTTTCATAGCTTCATCATCAAGATCTAACTTTTCCAAATTTTGAAGAACTTCTTGAGTATCTCTATGTGTGGTATACGTCATCCTATTCGCAAAATAAAAGAAAATAAATTCATCCAAATATATTTGTTTATTCACTTACCAACAACAACTTTCCACTTCGTTTGCATCTATTCCCCAAAACTAAATTAAAAAATTAAAATTTTTTTTCAGATTTTTTATTAAGATTTTATTTAAAAATACTTTTAACAACTCTAACCTTGAGTTCTTCTTCAAAAAGTGGACCACAGACATCTAAATAGTAAAAAAAGTAATAAAATAGGGAAATATGTTTCGATAGAATAACGCAAAATTTTAAGGAAACCCCGATCATAACCGAGTTTTCAGGTACTTTACAGAATTATAGCAACATAACAAAATCTTAAAAACCCCTCAATGCTATGGGCTCAATACTGAGTATATAATATTTTTATATTCTTTATTTTATAAATGCCAACCAAGTGGATAATGCAATTTCCCCGTTCTATAATAATTAAGCACTTGTGCAAAAACGTCTGGATGCCGATCAAAGAAATATCTTTAAATTAGTTAATAAAACGTTTTAAAAATCAAATAAAATCTACTCATTCAAAACAGGATCATAATTAGCCAAATTAGGTGTAAGTCTGCTTAGTCGTGTAGCTGGAATCTTTTTAAGTGTATGTTTATATGTTTCATGTCGAACACCTCCAACATTGAGGACTATTCTATATTCACTGTCCATTATTGTACTCCTTTAAAATATATTAAATTAAAGCGTTATTTCATGAAATTTATGACTAGAATGTTTGAGACGGGGGGGGGGGGGGGGTTACTTCGAAAATTCAGATTTTGAGAGGGATTTTGAAGCTTGAAATTTAATAATTAGGATTACTTAATTCATAAAAAGAATTAGACAAAAACTTTAGAGATTAGACGGAAAAGTTTAAGAAAATACTACTCATCTCTCATTAATATATACCTAATACCACCCAGGTAATAATTACAACTCTACTGAAATTTTCTCAAGTCCCCAACTAAAAATTAAAACAAAAAAATAATTTTAAATAAAAATTTTGAAAGTCTAAATTAAAAGTAATGAGGTAAGTATATAACTAAAAACAAAAAAAAACTAATAGAGAAAGCCAACAATTAAATGGAGAGTTACCCGTCCATGTTAAAAAAATTCCCCTTTGGGTTGGCAAAAAATGTGGCGAAATTGGAGAAGCATTTATTTAGAATTATTGAGAGAAGTTAAAAAAGAAAAGAGAGGAGATGCGGCAAATTGCTAAGCGCTAATGTTAACACGTTCCCTTGACGCAATTTTTGTTTCTACTGCCATTTACTAACAAGGGGGACAGAAAAAAGTTTTTAGAGTTGACATTTGGAAAAATAAGGATTTTTTATTGTAAAGTTGTGAGCTAATTTGATAAAAAATAAATGAGAGAGAAAAATATAATTATTTAAAAATTTTTAAAACGGAAATCCAAGCTGTAATTAAAAGCATTTACAGAGTCCCCGACTCCATAATAGGAAATAATTTTAAAGTTACTATCTCCTAAAACAAAATTTTATCCATAAAAGTTAATTTCTCAATTAATCAGAAGAGAGATAAACTGAAGGACACAAAAATATCAAAATATTTATTGATACTTTAAAAATTATTTTATTTAAGAGAAAATTGCATTTTAAGTGAGGGTTGTATTTTAAATTTTTAAAGGATATATATTTTAAATATATTTTAAATATTTTAACTAAATAAGGAAATAAAGGAAACTAAATAAAATTTTATTTATTTATTTATTTCAATCTACTAAATCCTCCAACTTAATGTGAAAAAGCATTTTAAAATAAAAAAAGAATTTATTTATTATGCAGCAAGTTCAATTTAACCTTCCTTTCCTCACTTTTTTTGTTAAGCAGATGAGTTTCCGTGTTTGTAAAAAATACATAAAATAAATAAAATAAAGGAGTAAAGCCTAGACATGGAGGAATTTGTTTTTTAGTAAAGGATATATGTTAATAATGAGAAATAAAATAGGTATATTTTATAAGAGATTAAAAGTCAACAAAGAATTTTTTAATTAAAAAATGTTAGGAAATTGTTTCTAATAATTCGAAAATAAAGAGAATTGTTACAAAATTGAAAAAAAAACATACTATAAAGAAGAATATAATAGAATAAACGATAAAAATAACCAATTAAATTATTTTAAAAAAACAAAAAATTAAAATTATAAAAATGGTCAATTATCCTTAAACAAATAAATATAATAATAATTAAAATATTTAATAGGCAATAACAACTGTTTTAGTTGTTATTACTATACCTAATTTAAAGAGAATTGGCTTTAGGAATATTTTAAGACAAAATAAATTAATTTTTATTGTCCCCCTAATTAACAGAATTATTTAGTAAAATAAAATTTAAAAATTTTAGTAAAAAATAATCACAAGGAAAAATAAAAAAATCATTAAAAAATTTTTATTTTGGGAGATTTAATGCTTAATCAATATAAATATATATTAATTATGATCACCTATAGATTTAAAATAATGGAAGAACAAATGCTTCAAATAAATTTATTTAAAAAAGTTTTGAAAAATAAAAAGAATTTTTAAATAATTATTGAAATAAATTGTAAAAATATAATTAAATTTAAAAAAATTTTAATCAAAATTTATAAAATTATTCTATATTTTTTGTGAAAACTTTTACTTAAAAAATTTAAAAATAATGCTAAAATATATTTGGAAAAAATAAAAAAAAGTACAACAACTATGTACTAGTAACACCCACTAACTATGAAAATTCATCGATGCATATACTAATGTGCTTTTTGTTGTGAATTATTTATTTTTGGCATTTTAGAAAAGGATTGATTTACGGATAGTTTAATTTTAAGAGTTTTTTTGTTTTTTATTAATATATTTTGTAAAGTTCGTAATTTTTAAATATTATTGTGATTAACAGACTGTCAAAATTCCTGTTTACAGTAAATATTACATAAACTCAAAGTTTTTGAATGTCCGGACACAAGCTTATTAATACTTGATAAAATATTAAAATTTTATTGAGGTTTGTTTTGCTTTACAAAAAAGACATTTCAATTACATTAATTAAATGTTTTTATTCTTTTATCAAAATTTAATTTATTAAAAATATTTAAATTAAATATTAACTACATACCTTTCATCAAAATCCTGTCCTAATGGGCGGCTCATTGTTCGCTCGGCTGGAGCACGTCCATAAAGAGACATACTTCTAGACATGTTTTTAATGAAGAAATAATTAAATAATTTATGTAAATTTAATTAAGTTAATCTATAAAAATATTTTTTAAATGAATTTTCGAGGCAAAAATGAAAATGTTAATTCAGAAAATATTGTTAAAAACAAATTTAATATTATAATACTGTGAGAGAAAATTTTAATTTTATAAAAAATTATCTAGCAAAAATAGAAATTATACGAAATTTATTAAAATTAAAAATCATGATTTGAGGAGGGGTATATTTTTGTAATTCTTTTTACTGTAAAACAGAAAATCAAATCTTTTTAATTCCTATTAAATCAAACATAATTAATTTTCAACAAAAACTTGTTTAATATTAAAGATTAAAATTTTTATATATAAAATCTCAAAAATCATTTAAAATAAATATTTTAAGCAAATAATTAAAAAGAAAATCTACATACATAAGATAAATTTGTGGAAAAAAATATTTAATGAAACTAATAAAGTATTTATTTATATAAAATATTTATTAAAATAAATTTATTTTCTCTTTAATTCATGACTTTTAAGAATTAAATAAATTTTTAAAAATTATAGGAAATGTAGAAAATAATTTTGTTTAGGTCAGCACTGGGTTAGTTTATGTAAATTTCTCAGTAAAAAGAAAATTAATAAAAATATTTTTAGATTATAATTTTTTAAATAAATATGTATAAATATTTAGAAACATTAAATATTATTATTTATTTTTTCCTTATTTAATTATTTAAAAATAAATAAAATAATTTATTTAAGTACAAAAATAAAATTATTTTTTAATTTTTATTTATTATTAGAAAATTAATTAAATTTTGTTTAAGCAACATGCATAAATCAAATTTTTCTTAAAATATTTTAGCAAATAAAATGTAAAATAATTATTAAAAAATAATTAAAAAAATAATTTTATAAATTGAATGGCATTTTTAAATGAAATTGATACAGGAAAAGTGGTTATTAACGGTTGTTGGAGACAGAGGGAAAAATTTTTTCATTTTGTCTATGGCCAAGAAGATTTATTTTTCATTCTCTGCAGGGGAAACTGATACATTCATTGAGGAAAAAAAGAAGAAAAAAACATTCTCTCTTTCTTTTAATTTTTTAAAATTTTTATAAGAGGGATATTAAGGAATAAAGCAGAGAAAGAAGCAATTGGCACATTTTATATTTTTTTATTTGTTGTTAATGTTGATCTTAACAAATAATTTTAAAGGAAAAAAGAAAATCAAAAAATGTTTTTAAATGACAGAAAACAATTTTTTAATTTTAAAAATGAATTTTAAATTAATTTTTATATTTATAAATAATTTAATTAATTATTATCTTCAACCTTCAGAGAACGAAAAAAATATTTAATTAAGGCCTGTAAATTTCCAAAAATTCCCTGAAATTAAGAATTTATTTTTTTATGTCGACAGGATTGAGGAAATAATTGACAATTTAATACATTTCTAGTTAGGTTACTGTTTAAAATGGTATCTAATTATTTACACAAGTTTTTTTTAAAAAATAAAAAAAATATAGGAGTAGTATTTTATAAACGTAAAATTCCCAATTATTATTATCAAAATATTAACTGACAATTAAATGTTTTTTTTGTTAAAGTAAAATGCCATTAATTTCTGTTTATATTTGGATAAAGATGTCAGTCATTAAAAAGAAGATAAAAGTAAAAATTAAACAAAAAATGCGAAGAAATTGGGTAATTTCTAAGAAATTAAAAAAACTTTAACATAATCCCCATGGATACACTCTTACAGAAAATTTTGTACTTTAAATTGATACTTTATAAAAATATTTATTTAAAAGAATGACTTTGATTAGCTCGAATATAATGTAAAAATTTATTGGAAGTTTTAAAAATAATTTTTTAAAAAATAATTTCGAATCTAAATTTCTCAATAAATAAATCCCGAATGGACTTTTAACATTGGGCTTCTAATTTACTGTTGCCTTAACTCGCAAATCTAATTTTCACTCATCTCACTGATATGTTTGAAAAATAAACTCGTATAAAAATAACAAAAAAAAACACTTCAATTAAAAGTTAAACTTTCATTTTATAATTGTTTTATTCATTTTAAAAGATTTAAATATTTATAAATTATTATTTTTTATTAAAAAAGCAAAGCAAAAAATAAAAAAATCACAGAAATATTTAATAAATGATATTCCTTTTTTAATTAAAAATATTTAAATTAAAGGTGTCCATCCAACATAATTAGTTTCAGCAGAAAGTGTGTACATTTTCCTGTGTGGACTATTCGAGACAGAATCAATTGATCTTTCAGAATTATTTTGAGGAAATCTGCCAAGTAATACTTTAAATAAAGAAGTTGATAATCTTCTCTTTTGTTGCTGTTGATTCTCTTTGGGTGATTCAATTTTTAAGAGAGATTTTTTAGTTAGCTCAGAAACATCTGAAATAAATTATCTTAAATTATGAAGTAAAAATGTTTTGAGTCTGTATTTATTCAGGGGAGAGGAGGGAATGTTGATAATGAATATTGCATTGTTATGTAATCAAACGTTTCTCTCACTCATTTTCAATCAAAATTTTAATTTCTAGTTAATTTGGAGGTTTTAAAAAATATTCTAAAGAATATTTTACTCTTACAACCATTCAAAATATAAAATTTAACCGACCAACATTTTTATCTTCCATTTGCCCTTCAATATCCTTAACTGATTCTCTTCTTTTACTTGCAATAGAAAGAAGAAAATTTCTTCGTAATTGGGCTATTCCTCTATTTTTCTTAAAATTTATTTCATTTTCATTTAAATTTTTTGTCAATTTCTGATGAGGTAAATTAAAGGAAATTCGTTTTTCAGGCCTTTTTAAATTTTGATTAGTTTCAAGTGTTGCTCTCCTTCTTTCCTCTCTTAAAGAAAGAAAAGAAGCCCTTTTTTGGTCTGGAACATCCAAAAATTGATTATTATAGCTTTGTTGACTTTCATTACTGGCTCTTCTGGATTGATCAATTTTTGGCAATAAAAGTAGAGAACCAAATGGAGATAATTTTTCTTGATCAGGTGTTTCTAATGCAGAAGGAGAAGCCTCCAATTGGAGTAAATGAACGCCCACAGAAGCAGCTGCAGCAGTTATACCTGCTGAACAAGAAGCGGCAAGGGTAATTGGAGGAAGGCCAAGAATGCTACTTGGACAGATTGATAACTGGAATTAGTTGAAAATGTAATAAGAAGAAGAAAGTCATGAAAGCACTTGGAATTATTTAGACTGTTAAGTAAATAACAAAAGGAAATAACTAGGGAAGTATCAGGATTACTAAAATTTTATTAAATATTATTAACTCATCTAGGAAATGAGTCACAATGGGACTAACTAAGATAGGCAAGTTCTAGCTTTACATACAATCGTAGAATATTATTTAATAATAATATACCTTTTAGAATATTATTTCACAACAAAAATTCTTTTTACCTGTTCAGTTCTATTAGTGAATTCAGTTGTTCTACTCCTAGATAATCTCCTCCAACTAAGCCAACCATATTCATCATCTTGCATTTTTTTCTTCTTTTCTTTAATTTTTCTTCCCCTTCCACCTCCATTCCGACATTTCCATTTACAATAACTCCTTCCTTCATTATTTAAAATTTCCCCTTTTCCTCCATTATTAGAAACAATTGGCAAAATTGTGCTATTGCAACAACAACTTGGTTGTTCAGCAATTGAATAATGACTTTGAGAGAATTGTTGTTGTTTTTGTTTTCTTAGGAAAATAGCTTTGCAATATTCTTTTTCTTCTTCATTTCCATTTTCCCAATCATTTGCCAAAAATTTTTTGAAACATGGACATTTACTAAAATAAAAATAAAATATTTTTTTGGAATGGCTCCTTATTTCCTCTCACAATTTATTTAATTTTTTAATTATTTTTTCGAAAACTTTCTTCGAGAATCAGCCATTCGATTAATATATCTTTTTGATATTCTATCAGTTTCATAATTATTTTCTTCAATCATTTTATTTTCAGGCAAGGCTAAGGTGGTAGTAATACAATTATTTTGATTATTTTTAAGAAAATTTTTAGAATAAAAAGATTCTTGGCAAGTAGATATAGTCGAAAAAGATCGAAGTTTTAAAGGTTCTCTTTGACGCTTTAAATTTCTTTTTTTCATAAAAGATGAGGAGGAACACGTCGATTTTTCACTCATTGCGTGAACTAAAGAATGAGGGGAAGATTTTGTTTTTAAATTTTTTTGTTGTTTATTTCGAAGAAGAAAATATTTGTTGTCAATTAAATTTCCCAAAACTTCAGAAAATTCTCGTTCCTCAGCCAAACGTTGTTCTAATTTTCTGAGTGATTGTTGAACTACAATTGCCCCACCAGAACCATTTTTATTTTTTGAATTTTGTTTAATCCGAATAGATTGATTTAAAATAGGTTTAGGACGGTTTCTTTTGAGCATTGGCATTGGAAGAGAAGCGAGACAAAGTTCGGCCCTATAAAATTAAGAGGGAAATTGAAAATTTATTGAAAAGTTTTTTTTTTGATTTTTTTAAAAATTATTTAAAAAAAATTTTGATAGTCACAAAATTTAACTTAAAAGAAAAGTAAAAAATAAATTAAAAAGACGGAACTTTGTCTAATATTTCCTTTCTTTGTACCAATGCTCATCAGAAAATAAAATTCAAAAACACGAGAACACAATTTTTAAAGAAAATGTTAAAAAATAAAGGATTTAAATTATTAGAATATCACTGATAATTCGTAAATATATATTTAGTTAAAACAATGTTTAAATAAAGAAATTTCTAAATTGAAGGAAAAATTGAAGAAAAAAAAGAATATTTAACAACAACACAAATATTTTTAAAAATGTTAAAAGTCTAATAATTTAAAGACCACCAAAGCCTCGCCATCTTTATTTTTTAATTAAAAATTTTTTTAAAAATTACCTCAATATAAAATGCAAAACTGAAAAGAGTATTTGCAGGAAAACTGTTCGAAATTTCCTTGACATTCCAACATAAATTAAAAATCCAACAGCCGAATTTAAGAGAGAAAGAAGATCCATTAAATCACCCAAAGGCAAATACTAAATTAATTCTTTTTAAAAAATTTAAAAAATAATTAATTTAATTACCACACGTTTATGAAAAGACTCAGAAGAAAATATTCCATTCAAAACGTGTAAAAGACCTTGAGGTAATTCAGCCAAAAGAAAAATTGTTAAAATTGCAGCAAGCTATAAGAAGAAACAATTTTAAAATTAAAATTTTAATTTTTTCAAAATCCCCAGAAATAAAATCATATATTTCTCAATTTCAATATTTAGATAAAAGTTGTGAAAGATAATTTAATTTCCCAAAAGAAGTAAAAAACTCATTTATCTACTTAATTCAAAAATCCTTTCCCTCTCCTTCCTACCATTGGAGTTGTATGATCTTTTGGAACTTTTTTGCGCATAACTTGTGCCAGATTCTTTCTTTTATGTGCAACATCCGCAATAATTCTTAGTAAAGCAGCAATAGAAAATGTAAGTAAAATACAGGGAATTACTTTAAATAAAATTCCGTTTGTCCAAAAAGCTAACTTTAAAAATAAATTTTAATTTAACTTCAATTCACAATTTAAATAATTACTTTAAGATTCATACAATCACTTTCGTGTGGACGAACTGTATAAACTATTGGTTCATTATTAAAAATTGTGGGAGGTTGTGTCGTTTTAGTTAAATTATTATAATGGTCATTTCCAATTAAAGTTGGTAGTTCTCGTTGAAAACGTCTAAAAGTTATAAATATTAAAATTGGAGGTTAGAAATTAAAAGCAATTATATTTTTGAATAAATCCCCAACTATATTTTCCTTCAATAACTAGGAGGGATAACTAGATATTTAACAAGGAGACTAATAAAATAATATTAAAAAATAGAGTTATTATTAGATAGGTTCTTACTCCCCATAATATTTAAAGAGATTGTAGTAACGAGATTAGATGATAACTGCCATAATAATTTAAATTAATAGATTTTAAATTTAATTATTTTTTAAATTTCTATTTATTTTTACTTTAGTCTATGTCTTCTAATTTTATTTGTATTATTTATTGGTGAAGTAATATTTATAAATCCTTCAATGCCAGTATTATAATTTGAAGGCACAGTCGTTAAATAATTAGTAGAAGGTTGCCAACATGGAAGAATAACGCTTGCTTGTTCTTCCATTATCTTTTTTTATTTTATATTTAAATTTATTTTTTTTTATATTACAAATACCTCAAATGTCAAAAAATTTGGAATATTTACAATTGTCATTGTCTAAAAATAATTATTTAATTATTTTTTATTTTATTAAAAAACTAACAATGGTTGTGAGTAAAGCAATTAATGCAGTAAAGCGTTCTGTTATTAATGGAGTTGTTGGCCCTTTCGTGGCTCTAAAAATTTATTTTAAATATTTTATAAGTAAATTCTGAAAATTAGAGAGACTTTACAAAATAGAATATTCAAAATATTTAAAGATTTGTACCTTCTAATAGTTAAAACTCTTAGTTGAGCCATAACTACAAGCATCCAAATACTTGCAGCGTGAAAAATAACAGAAGCATGTGCATGAAACATCATAAAAACAGCCCAGCACCAACTAAATATTCAAAATTAAATTCAAATGTATTAAAATATTACCTAAAATCTGAAGGTTCACAACGATCTGCTGAAGCCAATAAAAAATGTAAAACAAAAATGAGGTAAGAGACTTCAACGAGTATATCGCAACAAGCCACTGCGCATAAAAGAACGTTGACTGGGGAACGCATAGATGGCCTGGTTAGCACCAAAACTGTCACTAAGTTCATTATAGTACCTGGGGAAAAATTTTGAATTAAATATTATGATTGATATTTTTATTCCTCCGTTATCTAACAAATGATTCAGGCATAATAAGTGAGAGGGGATTATCCATATAATGTCAAAATAAATTAAGGTTATAATATTCATTTAAATTAAATTTTTAATTAAATTACCGGCAATACAAAGGCCAACAGCCAGATAGGGATGAATCTGTCCATAATTCTGTTGAAAGGCAGCTACGGCGGTAAAGAGCCCCTCAAGGGGTGGCATTTCTAAAGTACCAATCTCACATGCACTTTTGCCGTTATTATTATTAGACGTCATTATTTTTAATTAGAATATGTATGTGTAAATATATTTTTAAATAAAGGCACAAAAAGCCTAGAATTAAAAAAATATCAGAATTTTATTTTTGGATTTTGAAAAATGGTTATTATAAGCCTCTCAAAAAGAGAACACCACTAGGGATAAATCAGATTGTAGTTAAATATCAGTTGAGAATTTTATATAATAAACTACACGTAATAAACTATAATAAACTTCCCTTTATGATGGAATATTTAAGGAAATCGAAATAAGACAAAGGCTATAACTGTGGGAGAGGAATAAGTGTCATAAAAAATTAAAAAAAGTTTCGAGAAAGTATTTCCTCTGATTAATTGTGAGAAGGGCACAACTATAATTTAAGAGGAAAAAAGGAAGCAAATTTGGCAAACGAGGAAGGATAAATTAAATTAATAAAAAAGGAATGATATAAAATAGCAACAACAAAAACAAGCAAATATACATACATATAAACACAATTTTTCTATTTAAATTCACCAAAAAAATATTTTTTTTTCAATTTTATTAAATTCCCTCACTCATGTTAAATTGCCAATTTTTTGGTCAACAATTTTGGTAGGTCACATTTTTTATTTTATAAAATGTTTACTGCGTTTTTAGCTTTAATTTTGTTCTTCCTATGGGAAATAAATAAATAAACGTTATCTTCTCTCTCTTTTAAAGCCTATAAAAAGGAAAGAAATCTAAAACGAATTTAATTTGTACTTAAAAAAAGTGCCTGCGCGTAGAAGGGCACAGCTGTTCCCTTTTTTAAAGTTAAATTGAAGTATAAGAACTAAGCCTCTTTTTTTTTATAAATTTACTGGCAGTTTTTTACAAGAGAAAAAGGGAAGGCAATCTAAACAAACTGCCAAAATTTAATTTTAAAAATATACAAAAAGAGAATGTTACTGGTCTCGCTTTCACGGATGGCTTATTGAGAGGATATAAAATAACCAGAAAAATATAAAAAAATATTTAGAGGAAGTTTATTTTAAATTTAAATTAGGAAATAATCTTTAGGCGAAACGAATTTTTTGGGGGTGAGAGGGAAAATTTATGTGAGGTGAAAGAGGTTTGGGGAAAGGGGGCTTGTTACGTTTAAAATCCCCTTTATGATGGAATATTAAGGGAACCGAAATGAGACGAAGAATACGTCTATGGGGGAGAGGAATAAGTGTAATGAAAAATTAAAAAGTTTCAAGGAAGTATTTTTACTTATTAGCAGTAAAGGGATTTAGAAGGGATATAGAGTAAATAAATCTAGAGTAAATAAAGATGTTAGAAGAACTAGAATTTTTGAAATTGAGATAAAAGTAAAAAGATTATAGAAACTAACCACGTTCCTTACATCCATAAATAGGAGAACTAACTAGATAACTTATAATTAGCTATCTTATATTTAAAATTAAGTGTTGGCTTTTTAAAAGTGATAATTAAAAAACTTCTTTTAAAAAACTTCCTTATCATTTCACTAAAAACTACCTACCCACGTATTTTTATAAAAATATTAATTTTCTAAATGGATATAACAAAAATTTATATTAATTTAATAAATGGATTTTCTAGAAAATCTTTCCAGAATTTACTTTTTCTTCCGCAACAGTGACTAAATATATTTATTATTAAAATAATAAAAGTCAGGAAATCATTAAATTTGTTCAGATTTGATATCATTATAAAGAACAGAAAAAATAAACATAAATCTAAATTAAACCCATCTAATATTTAAAGTTTAAAAAGAATAGAAGAAATAGTAAAATAAAAAATTAAATTAATTAGATTAATTACAATATATTTTCAATAATAATTTTTAAAAATTTTGCTTTTTGATATTTAAGAAGGCTTATTTGTTAGTAACTTGTAGTCACATATTATTATTATCTAACCTTCATTTCCGTAGCTAGGTCATTATTTTTGTTTATTTTCAAATTCGAGTATTTACGTAAATTAAAATATATATAAACATATTAAAGTACGTAGATTATATATATAAATATTTTTTTGTAAAAAATATTTTTTTAAATTAATTTTAAAATTTAAGAATAAGGCAAAAGAAAATTAAAAGAACATTTTTTATAATACATACATATAATGATGTAAATTAAAATGAAATCAGAAAAATGAGAAAAATTGAATTAAAATTTTAACCTTTGGTTTGATGTTAAAAATTATTTAGAAAACATAAAAATTTTGGTTATTATAATTATTACTTATATTTTTAAATAATTATATTTTACTTTTATTTAATTGCTTTTTTGACGCAATAATAATTCTAATTTTGGAATAAAACTAGGAAGTTTTTTTAAAAAGATCAATCCCAATATTATTTTTAAAATAACCATTTAAAGTAGAGTTGATCAAGACGAGACCGATACCGAGACCGATACCGAGACTCTCGGCTTTTTTCCAATATCGGTCTCGGATTTTTCTTTCTCGGTCTCGAAACCGATACCGATATTCTCGGTCCATTTCTCGGCGAGAAACGATACTGACTCAAAGAATCAAAATTCTCAATATTGTCCAAGTTTTCGTCCATAATTTTTTCGGATATCCGTCCATAACAGAGAAAGTGAATTTTTTTCGAATAAGGTCTTCTAAAATTCAAAAAATTTTCGCCTGCGCCGCTGAAAAAGGAAGAAATTTGGTGACTTGGCCTTCCAAAATTTAATAAATTTTCGTCTGAGGCGCTGAAATGTTGAATTTTCCGAGCTCTCGGCCGTTAGATTTTCAAGATTTTGATTACAGAGCCTTCCGATTTTCGGCATCTGTTGTTCCCACCAGTGGTTAAGTGGATTTAAAATTATCGGAAGCAAATTCTCAAATTCCAAATTTCTCAAATTTTTGTCTGCGGCGTTGAAATAGGAAAAATTCTGGCTTCTTGGCCTTCCAAAACTACAAATTTTCGCCTGCGTCGCTGAAAATTGGAAGAAATCTGTTGACTTGCACTTCTAAAATTCTAAAAAATTTTTGCCTGCAGCGCTGAAATAATGGTTTGTTTAACCGAAATTTTCACTTCGGCCATCCGCGGATACCCGCGGATGGATATGCCTCAAAAGTTGTAAGGATATAGTCGGATACGGATGTCGACCTCACGGATAAACCAATTCGGATACAAACACAAAAACTACTATCCATTGCCAAGCCAGATCGGATCCAGATGATTAAGAGTATTTATCTGATGATTTGATGATGAAAATAATGAATTAATAATTTTTACACGTATTTTTTGACATAAAATAAAAAATTTCTGTTAGTCTCGGTCAGTATCGTTTCTCGGTATCGGTCTCGGCTCAAAATGATGGTATCGGTCTCGATATCGGGTTCTTGAGTATCGGTCAATCTCGGTCTCGGGTTGGCCGATACCAGTATCGTTTTGATCAACTCTAATTTAAAGATTAAACTCCTTTCTAAGAATAATTGCCAGAATTTTCTTAATTTTTAATTTAAAAGTTTTATATATTAGTTAAATTATATTTATTATTTTACTTCGTCACATCCGAGGCTCATTCCCACACTCCTTTTAGCTTATTTGCGTGAATTAAAAGTGTATATACATTATTGGTCTCTTATTTTAGTACTTCCTCTTAAGTCTATTATTTTTTTATTCATTTATCATTTTTATTTAAATAATTGTCTGATAGTGGAATTTGTGAATAATTAAAATTTGAAGGAAATAAATAAAATTAAATTAATATAAAGATAAATTAAATTATTAATCTAAATAAACCAAATTTATTCCAAAAAATTTCCTGAGTTTTTTTAATGAATTAATTTTAAATTAAATATCTCTAAATAAAATAATTTTATGCAAAAAACTTTTGGAAATATATTTTAATTGTTTAGGGACTAAAAGAATATTTTAAAATAAATATTAAAACATAAAATTGCCTTTTCTACTTATTCTTATAATAATTATTTTACCTTTATATATTTAATTGCTCCTTTAACGCCTATTATTTTTTACTATAATAAGCTTTCTAATTTTAGAATAAAATTTAAAAATTTTTTCATTGTTTCGAAACAATTTTTAAAAATTTGAAAATTTGAAAGGGTTGAATCTAAAAATATAAATAAATATTATTAGTAAAAATTTTTGAGAGGGCGGAATCCTCGTAAATCAGATTTCTGCAGTGACTAGATTAATCTAGAAAATCCAGGAATCTCGTCAATTCCGAAAATTGCAAAAACGGAGATTTTAGGACGGGATTCCAAAGGATTCGGGTATATTTTTAAATAATACATGGAGGAGGGAAGTAATTATAGTGTACTATTTAGCTGATTCTAGTAATTATAATAATACCCTACCTGAGAATTGTCGCAGTTTGCGAATTTTCCCAATTAATCATATTTATTTTCCTTTCCGGTCGTTTATAAAAAATATTTTTTCCCAAACAATTCTCAAGATCAAAGAGATAAATCTTCCTTATATAAACTTTTCCTATAAACCCTTTTCTCAGTCGCTTTCTTATATTCAATTGCTTTTTCTGTGCTCATTTGTAGTAATTTAATTTTCTTTCCTTACAGCTTAGTAATCGCACTAGCTGATTTCTTTTACTCTTCGTTCCCTACAGCCTTGCATTGGCTGAACCTTTTCCTTATCTTTTAATTCTGCTTATTCAATAAGCTAATCTTTAACTTTCTCTATTAATTTAAATTGTTAATATTCTTTTTGGAAATAAATATTGTTAAAATATTTGTGTGTGTATTTACTGAGCCTTAGGGGTTTACTTCGGAATATTTTTTCTTTTTTCCGACAGCTCAGCCGTTTCCGAAACAAATCTCTTCTATTCCCACCCTTATTTTTTGAAAAAATGTCGTTACACCTTCGTACCCAAATTTCCCTCTTGTTTACAGAGGCTACTGAGTTACTAGACAATAAAAAAGAATTTCCCGTCCCTCCCAGAATTGGAGGACAGACGGATAATGAATATAAACTAATTATTGAAAGTACTTTAGAGGATTTAACCGCTGAACAGGTAGAAATAGCGGAAATTTCAAGTCAACTTTCAGATGTGGATGATAAATGGACAAATCTCCGTACCAATATGACAGGTAATGAAAGGTTGCAGGACAACACAGAATATGATGCCTTTATAATTACTGTCCCATTTGCTCAAACAATGTCCGACCTTCGTCGGTATCTCCGTCTTTTGCGGTCTCAACGCCGCCGTTTAGAACATTTAATCCCAAAGGTGGAAAACACTATACCCGCAGCCTCATCTTTAATCCACCTTCCTAAAACCGAACTTCCCTCATTTTCAGGAGACTGCGTCTCCTTCCTCTCTTTCTGGAATACATTTAGAGCAGGCGTCCACGACCTGCCTATTCCCGAGTCAATTAAATTTACTTATTTAAAACAATGCCTTTCCGGCCCACCTCTTACTCTAATTAATGCCCTACCCATTACTGATGGGTCATACTCTATAGCTATTGAACTATTGCGGAAAAACTATAATAATCCTACAGAAGTAGCCCGATCTTTACACAACTCTCTTCGTAAATTGCCGCAGGTCCGCGGTGGCGATCACTTCTGTTCCGACCTTCGTAATTTACTGGACCAATTAGAAGGTATCTGTGTCCAAATGTCCCAACGTAATCAATCATTCGACACTACCTCCTTCCAGATGGAGGTCGAAGAACGTTTACCTAGTTTTGTACTGGATGAAATTTTTAAATCTAAAGAAGAAGACCATGAATGGTCATCCCTCAAGCTTAAGGAGAAGCTCCACAATATCCTAAAAAGGAAGGAACAAATCGAGACATTAACATTAAATTCCACCTCCCTTCGGAGTCCCATACCCTCTTCAATCTCGAAATCACCCCAAATTTCTAGAACTCCGAATAATATCCCAACTCTCACGTTTAATACTCTAAGAGAGGAAAATAATAAATGCAGACATTGTATAATGAATGCAGACATTGTATAACGAATTTTTCTCACCAGACAATAAATGGCTATTCCCCTCATAAATCTCCACCTAAAAATAATCCTAAAGTCCCATTTTCCCATTCAAAAGTTCAATTATCTCCCAATTGTAATGGGCAAACCCTAAAGGATATAAAAACATTCTCTCATAAAAAACACAAATCAAAGCCTTCAAATAAGGAGCCTCTTGTATTTAACACACCTTTGAAAAATCCCAAAGATACTTTTGGGTCAAATCTTTACTCAGGCCTTCCTAAATCCCAGAAAATGAATGGAGAACATCAAATTCGTCCTCTTCTCCCTTTGGACAGAAATCGTCCATACGGCCATCCTTCTTATCACCAGAATCAATTTAAAAATTTAAATGTACTTAATCCTAAATCCAATATCCCAAAAATAGCTCAAAAATCCCCTTTACCAATTTTTGCTGGGCGGGAGCGCGCTCATCGCGTGTTACCCTCGACATATAATCCCATCATTACCTACCCTGCCCCAGTTAATTATAAAAACAATTTAAACATCCCCTCTCTCATCCCCTCCCTTTTCAACAAAATTTTTCTTCCCACAGGTGTTGCTCTTCCTTCAACCTTAGGTGGTGTGTTTGCACATGGAGAATATGCACCCACTCTTTGTCCGTATCAATTCGCTCCAAGGAACTCAATGCTCAACTCTTATCCACAACAACAGATGTATCCTACTTCTGGCTCATTTCCGTAGTGCTCACTCATCCCAATGAACAATTATCAAACTTGTTGCTGACCCAAAGAACAAAAATTGAAGAAAAAAATAATTGAAACCCTAAAATTTTTTCTTTTCCCGCGGTTGTCCTAAAACAATACTCTTGTCCGCGGAGTGTCGCAGTTTGCGAATTTTCCCAATTAATCATATTTATTTTCCTTTCCGGTCGTTTATAAAAAATATTTTTTCCCAAACAATTCTCAAGATCAAAGAGATAAATCTTCCTTATATAAACTTTTCCTATAAACCCTTTTCTCAGTCGCTTTCTTATATTCAATTGCTTTTTCTGTGCTCATTTGTAGTAATTTAATTTTCTTTCCTTACAGCTTAGTAATCGCACTAGCTGATTTCTTTTACTCTTTGTTCCCTATAGCCTTGCATTGGCTGAACCTTTTCCTTATCTTTTAATTCTGCTTATTCAATAAGCTAATCTTTAACTTTCTCTATTAATTTAAATTGTTAATATTCTTTTTGGAAATAAATATTGTTAAAATATTTGTGTGTGTATTTACTGAGCCTTAGGGGTTTACTTCGGAATATTTTTTCTTTTTTCCGACAGAATTTTATTATTTAAAAATTATTAGAAATTATTTAAAAAAGGCTTTTAGAAACAATGAATAAAAAATAATTTATTACTAATTTGGTTTCAATTTAATTAAGAATAATAAAAAATGAAATTCTTCCCACAGACTAAATATTCTTGAAAAACGAATTAATATATGTACATATAAGTAAACTATGACTGCTAAAAACTTTAGGAAAAAAACTTTTTTACATTAAATATTAATAACTAATAAAAGGATTATCATTCAGTCTATATTAGCATCTAAAAAATAATTTTGAAAAATATATTTTGTCTCATTTCAAGTATGTCATTCTGATTATTAAACTTTTGGATTAAAAAGCAAGTCAAGTGTTAATTGAAAAAGTCTCATTCTGAAATTTTTAGCCCAACAAGCTAAAAATTTAAAATATTCCCCCACCCTTCTCCTAACACTTCAATTTTCCCATTAACTTTTTATTAAATATTTCTCTCAAATTTTTGATAAAATGTTACAAAATTATGAAAAAGAGGACAAGCATGAAAAGCAGTGAAAAAATGATGCGGAAAGATCAAAAAATATTTTATAGAGAAAATTTCAAAACGAGAATTGTTTGACTGTCAGAAAATTATCAGAAAATTTCCCAAACAAATTGAGAGAGGTTGAATCCGACCCTCTTGATATTTCTATAATTTAGTTTTTGTTTTATCCTTTTAAGTGGAAAATAAAAAATTGGGGGGAAGTGATGCAGAACATTAAAATAAAGACAATTGAAAATAGAGGGTCTTTCATTTTTAAACAAGTGACGAAAATGGTGATTATGAAAAGGAAAATGAGGCAATTGAGCGAGTAAACAAAGCTAATTTGTGTCTATGAATTTAAAAAGGAAAAGCACACTTTAATAAAAAGATAAAGTGAAAAAAAATTTTTTTTGTTAAAATGGAGAAAAAAATTTATTTAAATAAATATATTTTATAAAAAATTGAAATCAAAAAAGTTCGAAAATAGAAAATTTGAAAAAAAAATAACTCTTAAATTTTTAAAAGATTTTCTTATCAAAATTTAAAAAATATTTTCGATTGCATTTTTAATTAAGTCACGTTCTAGGAAAAAATTTACATCATTTTTGACAATTACAAAATTCCAAATATAAAACAAAAATTTAAAGTCTCAAAAATTAAACAAATTTTTAATTAATTAGAAAAATTATTTATTAAAATAATTTTTTATTTCCTTATTTTATTTTTTAAGGAAACAATTCCTTATCAAAAATTTTTTCAAAAATATTTTCTTTAAAACTTTTTGCATTTAAAAGTAGTTAATAAATAATAAATAAAAAATATTTTTTAAAAGTCAATCATTCATTAATTAACCAACTGTTCCCTAAAATAAATTTTCACAAAAAAAATCGTGGGGGAAGTTGTTATTTAACATCCGGCAAACTTTGAAAAAAAAAGAAAAAAATATATTGAGGAAATCATTGTTGAGAGGTAATTGGCCCAGTTACTTCTCATTTTTTTGAATAAGGAGATGAACGTGGAAATGTACTCTTCTCACTACAAATTGTGGTAAATAAAAAATAAAAAAATAAATATATAAATTCAAAAGTATAAAGAAATATTTGAATAAAAGATTATCTTTGTAATTAACTCTATTTGAGTTTATAAAAATAAAATAAAAATAGAAATGAGGGTTAGTATATGGGATAACTCGAAGATTTTTATTAAAAAAATACAAGAGACGGGAACTTTGTGTGATAACTCTATTTGTTTCCAAAAACCCGCTCTTCTTTCTAATTTAAAAATTTTAAAAGAATAACCGGAAATACGTCCAACTCCTTTTTTACTTTCCTATATTTTTATATATTTTTCACATAAATTCATAACCTTTTGTTTACTTTAATTTACGTATTTAGTTAATTATTTTTATTTATTTCCTCACGCTATCAAGATATTTAAATATATATTTTTCTATAAAAAGTAAAGGAATTAAAATTGAGTGTCAAAGCCTTCAAGAAAAGGGAAAATGGCACTTTTTTAGTCAAAAATTATGAAAAAATGCGGAAATATACTAGAATATCTTTGAAAATAAAAAATGTTGAAGAAGGATATTTAAATGAATGGGTGGGTAGTTAAAAGAAAAAAAAAGAAGAAAATATTTGATGATTAAAAAGTAGAATTTATAGCGGAAGGATAAAAATAAATTTAAAATTAAAGATGAAAATATTTAAAGTAAATAAATATTAAAATAAAAAAATTTTCTTTAAAATAAATAAAATAATATTTTTAAATTTAGTTTTGAATTTAAATATTTAAAGAAATAATTTTTTTACAAATTTTTAAAATTGGGAATGTTTTGTTATTTTTGGTATAAAAAACAAAAAAAAAGTTTTCTTTTTCTTTAGGATAAGAAAAGGATTTCCGTAAAAAGAAAAAAAAAGTCTAAAAATTTTTAGCAATCAGTCATTCCAGGGAGCGTGTGAGAAAATAAAAAGGAACAAAAAAATAAAATAAAGATTTTTTAAATCGAGGGTGTGAGAATTGATAAAAATTTATAGTGAAAAGTAAAAAAAATACTTTTATTTTTTAAATTTATTTAATAGTGTTTAATTCTGATAAAGTTTTGTTTAGATGATGTTTTGATTTTTTAGGTAAAGGGCGTTTTAGAATGGCCGATTCAGTCTAAAGGCCATATTTTAGGCACTGACATTTTTGATTTTTAAAAGATTTAAATAATAATCAAAAGCTTTAAATGTGAGGATTATTTTATCTATAAGGCTTGAACAGAAAAACTCCTACTATAAGTTGCAGCAGAATAAATATCAAAATTGTGCGCTTTTGCTTGATATAATAATTATTAAGGCCCAAAATATGAATAGCTGATTAATTGCCACTAATTTACATAGGCCTTGTCAATTCCCACACCTTCCTTATTTTTTAATAATTTAATATTTAAATATGAAATATTTAATTAATTTTTATTTAATAAACCACAAAACATGCAAAAAATAAATAAATTATTAATTAAAGGAAATCTAAAAATAGATATAATTTAAAAACAAAAATTAGATACCGTAAATGCTGAAATAATGTCCCTCTCTCAAATAGTTACCCCCGCCCTATTAATTACCCCCTATAACCAGAGGTTGAAACAATAATTACCCCTCTCAAAAATAGTTATAATTAGCCTTTATAAAAAAAGCTCAAATAATTACCCCCTCCCGTTTAATTACCCCCTCCAGCAAGAAGTTGAAACAATAATTACCCTGGGTAATTATTTTAGCAAATACGGTAATTAAATATTTAAAGGAAATAAAATAAATTATAAGTATTAATTTAATTTATTTTTTTTATTTTTGCAAGAATTTTTTCAAAAAAATTATATTAAAGATATTCTTTTTTTATTTTTTAACGGAAGACCACACAAAAATGTAAAAAATAAAAAAAGGGAAAATAAGCTAATATATATTAAAGGCCACATCTGTCATTCTTTTAATACTACCTACTATTTACAGAGCAACACACAAATTAGATAAAAACTGAGGAAATTTGTGGAAAATAAAAATAGAAAATAAAAACAATTTAAATTTAATTACAATAGTAAATTTATTTTTATTACAAATTAGTACAAAAATTTTTTCAAAAAAGGCCTGTTTTTGTCGAAGAAATAATATTTTATAAAAAATAATTATTAATTTTTTATCGAGAATTTATTAATTTTGAAAATTCCAAATTATTTTGAATTTCTCAATATTTCTTTATTTAAATTTGTTTTTTAGATTAAAAAAATAATTCGAAAAAAATATCTGTTTATTAACAACATATTGCGTGTATTAGAATACTTCATAAAATTATTTGGACAACAAAAAATAAAGGGGAAAAAATAAAATAAATTAATGAGAAAATGACAAATTGAATATGAAAACTAAAAATATTTTTCCAGTCAAAATAGTCGAGATTTTTCTTTTCCCAGTGGAAAAGTTTTGTTTGAATATATATGTATTTATTTGATTAGTTTATTTAACTTTTTTTCCTTCCTTATTTTTATTTTTGCACATCCAAATTTGTTATTTTGTGGGAAAATGGCAAAGCCATTAAATTTTGTCTAAATAGACAAATTGGAAAGGACATATATATAAATAATAATAAAATTATCATAAAATATTATTTTTGTTAAAATATTGTACTGTTATACATATGTACATAATATTTTTAATTAAATTATATTTAAAATATTTTCAGTTAGATATCTAATAATTATTTTATTAAATATCTTATCTAAATTTATTGAGTATTTTGATATAGGTATTTCAAAAACTTTTTCTGAAAAAAATAATTTTTCTTACGAATTTTTAGTAGCGATTGCTATCTGCGAGTTAATCAAAAGAAATTTATAAATATACATATTTAAAAAACTCAATTTTGTTAAAGGATTAAACAGTTTACTTTCAAAATAGCTGATTATTCATGGTCTCAAAATATTTAAATAAAAATATTATTCAATTTTATTCTTTTTAAAATTAATTAAAATAACAAAATTATTAAATAAAAATCTAAATATATTAAATCCAACAATAAAAACAACAATTCCAAAAATTACTAAGCAAAATAGTATATCCAATCCAAAATATTTAAAATTACTCATCTTAGCTCCCTCCAAATTTAATTCACTAAAATTTCCACCAAATTGTGCCGCAAATTCAACATGGCGTAAAAGTATTTCTTTGGGCTGGAATGGGGCCATCTGCATTTTTTGACTAACA